CCCTACATGAAATGTTACTTGTAAATATACTGAGGTTTCTCATATTTTACCTCATGCAATGTTACGTGCCGAAGAATATTTTTATAAATGTCACATGGTCCTAAGCAATTCCTCAAAAAGTCCTAATCCATGAAATGTCATTTTTTAACCATTCACAGGAAATCTCAATGGAAAGCAACTCTGCTACTACTTTACCACACAATTTTGCCTTAATTGGCTTCACACGTGAGAAATGAAAGACACAGGGACTAGATGAGGGGAAATTTCATTCATTCATGTTTGTTTATAACTTAGTCCTGCCCCTCCTTCTCCTCCCCCCCACCAGCTTAAAAGTTTGGCTCATTTTAGGTTAATATAGAGAGTGATGTCAGCCATTTGTTTAATGTAGTGATGAGATATTTAAAATATGAATCAATTCTTGACAACTAGTCACTTGACCATATGGCAAAAGTGTTAAATATATCTGTACTGGTTAAAAATTGTTTTCAGCTGTAAAAAGGATGTGTGAGTAAATAATGACAAACAAAACTGAGATAGGTTGGTACTGATTCAGGGACTACAAACAGGTTAGGGCCAAAATTTTTTTTCCTCAAGTGGAAAAATGGCAGCCATGGCTCCATCGATCACTCTCACATTCCAGGCAAAATGAAGAAGGAAGAAAGGAAGCAACAAGAAGGCATGTGTAATGCCTATTCTTAGCAGATGTCTCCTTATGTCTCTCTGGCTAGAGTAGTTTCCCATGACCACCTAGAATTGAGGAGAAGTTGAAAAGTGTAGATAATGTGGACAAACTGCTATCTCTAAGAAAACACTGTTTTAAAGCTCCAGCTTAAGTAATCTCTGAAACATTCCCTAACTTCCATAGCTCATCCTGACCTTCCCAGCCTCTTGATTCTACCCTTTAATACAAGTCACCTGATACATTTCAGATATTCCCTCTTTTGTATGTATGTGCTCTGTCCCTCCAAGGAGATTTTGAAGAGTGTGATAGCAAGCATGTGTCTTAGGTATTATCAGCTTACGCCAGAGTGTTCCACATATAGTAGAAAATTGAAAAGATTACAGTGCAAAAACCAAAAGTTATTACTGAACCTTCAGAGAGAAGACATAACAGCCAAGCTTAAGAAAGACTCACTAGAAGCCACATATTTGCATTATCAGTTCCATAAATCCACAGAGGCAGCAACACCCAAGAAAGCAAAAGGCAAATACCAGCACGGGTAGCAGTGCTGCTCACACAGTACCACGAGCATAACGGCCCATGTGATGATGACGGAATCTGGCACTGAGTCCTATAGGGTAAGAGAAAGCTGTTTCTGGGGGAGAGGTCTCCTCTTCCGCTTCACATCTGCATTCTTTGGGGGATGAAAATGGTCAGTGTTTACTCATTCAGGAATTTCTAGTACTGTCTTTAACTGTCCTGCCAGGGGATATAAAAAGAAAAAAAAGAAAAAACACCAGTTTGGTAGAAAGGCCTAGAACTGTTATCTCTAAATTTTTACTTGAAACTCAGCAAAGCACAGAAACGTCGGCTGCGGGCATGCCGCTGTACCACATGATGGCAGTGAAGCCAAGGGTCACACGCAGCAGCCCTTTATACGGAAACACGATGCCCTGACACCTGCCTGAGAATCTGCTCACCCAGGAGTTACTCTAAAAACTGTCCAAATGTATGACTTAACAAAACTTTCCTAAAGATGCAGTCAAGCAACTTTTAAAATTTTGTTGGCTTTGCTTGGCTTAACTGAACAAACCCAACAATTTATTAAAACTAACATTTCTCAGAGAGAGGAAGGCACTTGGGACCATCTTCATCTGAATACTTCACACTTGAAAATGAAACCAAGCAGGACCCTGCGGGGCCCTCCCGGGTACAGAAGCCTTTCCGTGTCCCCCGTTTCTTGTCTGTAGGAGAAAGGCTTCAGCCTCCGAGACCTTCCCTGAGTTACTAATGAAAGTGAGAGAACAAAGGAAAGGCAGTCGGGAAACAGGAGTACAGCTGGCGCAGCGACGGGGCAGGGTCCCAGGTCCTCCTCAAGAGATGTACTTAACAATCTGACACACATGGAACTCTGAGCTCTGCTACAGGGACTGGGGCCCCACCCAGTGGAGGATGGTGACTTCAGGCTGAGCACAACTACAGGGACCCCATACTGGTTGGAACCACAAGGCTGATGATGGACATTCCTGGAGCCCCACCTGGTTATCTCCCCACCAACCAATCAGAGGAGGGTCACACACCCGGCAGCCCTTCCCCCAGATTTTGCCTATAGAAACTCTTCCCCCGAAACCATCAGAGCTTTTTGAGCATGAGCGACGCATTCTCCTTGCTTGACCCTGTAAAGAAACTTTCTCTGCTCAAACTCCAATGTTTCGGTTTGGTTTGTTTGGCACATGGACTTGGGTCCGACAACAATTAGATGACAGGAAACACTACATTTGCGCTCCTTACACATCCCAGCACCAAACACGCTTGAGCTCCCGGTCACAGGTGCACAGGCACACCTTTCAGCAGGCCCAGCACCAAACACGCTTGAGCTGCCGGGGACAGGGGCACAGGCGCACCTTTCAGAAGGAAACTAGCCAGAAGACACATTGGGTTAAGCTCTTGAATAATACTTGAAGCAATTCTGGATTACCTAAAGAATACAAAACATTTGTATTCATCTATAAATAAAACAGAGTATCTTCTTGAAAACATTTTCATCCGTTCATTGAACAAATATTCTCAGAGTCCTAATTCTGGACCAGACACTCCTCTCAGCCCTGATAGACATGCTTCTTGTCCTTGAAGAGTTTACACTTTATTACCAAGCAATTAAAATGCTGTACGCCCTGGAAAGGAAGAAAACTGTAGTTTTATAACGTCATGTAATTTAGGAATCGTATTCATTTATACTATCCTCTCTTTTCAGGCAGCTTAACCAGGTGGCAGACAGTAAAATGCCAGAATTCTATAGATTTTGTACTTAGGCTATGTAGAGAAGGGCTTTCCTATTGGAAAAATTAATCTGACACCCAATCCACCACTGGTGCATCTCAAGCACACCTACTTCTAC